CCGACCTGGCTTGCATAACGGAGACCTGGGCGGGAGGGGAGGGGATGCCATCCTCTCTCAAATGTGCCCGCCCGGGTATCTGGTTCAGCACCGTTCACGCCCAGAGGGGAGGGGGGGTCGCTTTGGTTTACCGAGCCTCCATCTCCCTCACGGGACTTCCGGTCCCTTTGAGACCAGGGCTGGAGTGCCTCAACTTGGTGTTGGGCAACCGAGACAGATTGGGGATTCTGTTGGTGTACCGTGCACCCTTCTGCCCAACAGTCTCCCTGCCTGAGCTGACGGAGAGTGTCTCAGACCTGGTATTGAGGACCCCCAGGATGTTGATCCTGGGGGACTTCAATCTCCATGCCGAGTCTTGTCTGACTGGGGCAGCTCAGGACTTCATGGCTTCCATGACGGCCATGGGGCTGTCTCAACATGTCACCAGCCTGACCCATGAATGTGGACACACTCTGGACCTGGTTTTCTCGACGGGGCAGGAAGAGGGTGGTCTGAGGGTAAGGAATTTATGTCTGCCACCCCTGTCATGGTCAGATCACTTCCTGGTGAGGTTTGTGCTTGAGAGCGGCCTCTCCCTCTGTAAGGGTGCAGACCCGATTGTGTGGGTCCGCCCCCGGAGCTGGATGGATCCGGACGGATTCCTGAAGGCCCTGGGGGAGTTTCCGGCTGACAAGACTGGTGCTCCTGTCAAGGCTCTGGTTGAACTGTGTAACGGGGAGATGACCAGGGCTGTTGACACCATCACTCCTAAGCGTCCTCTCCCGCCGGGCAGAGCCCACTCTTCCCCCTGGTATACACCTGAACTGCGGGTGATGAAGCAGGCTGGGAGATGGCTAGAGCGTAGGTGGAGGAGATCATGGGATGAATCTGACCGAACACACTTGAGATCCCATTATCGGGCCTATGCTGTGGCAGTGAGGGCGGTGAAAAAGGAATTCTTTTCCATTTCCATTGCCTCCTCAAAATGCCTTCCAGCGGAGCTTTTTCAAGTGGTGCAAGGCCTGGTTCATCCAGGTCCTAAGAAAGATCTGGTTCCACCCTCAAAGGCCCGCTGTGACGACTTTGCCAAGCATTTCAGGGAGAAAATTGCTCAGATTCGTCACAAGCTAGACTCTACTAGTGACTCAGAGGTTTCTGGGGAGACACCAATGCTGCCGTCTCGTCCAAAATTAATGGACGAATTTTAGTTATTGCGGCCTGATGATGTGGACAAGGTCCTTGGACGAGTACGTCCCACCACTTCCCTACTGGACCCTTGCCCGTCTTGGTTAATAAATAACTCCAAGCACGGGATTGGGATCTGGATCTTGGAAGTGGTTAACGCTTCTCTGAGGGAGGGTCGGGTACCTGCCCCTTTAAAGGAGGCGGTAGTCCGACCGGTCCTGAAGAAAACGTCACTGGAACCAGAGATGGCCACTAATTATAGACCAGTGGCCAACATCCCGTTTCTGGGCTAGGTGTCGGAGCGCGCGGTTGCAGGACAACTCCAAGCTCTCTTGGATGAAACTGATTACCTGGACCCATTTCAGTCTGGCTTCAGACCCGGGTACGGTACTGAATCTGCCTTGGTCGCCCTGTACGATGACCTGTGCAGGGAGAAGGACAGGAGGAGTGCGTCCCTGTTGGTTCTTCTGGACCTCTCAGAGGCTTTCGATACCATCCACCATGGTATCCTTCTGGATAGGCTAGCGGGATTGGGGGGTCGGAGGCACTGCTTTGCAGTGGTTCCGCTCCTATCTCAATGACCGATTCCAGAAGGTGGTGCTGGGAGACTATGGCTCTGCGCCATGGCAGCTATGCCATAGAATACTGCAGGGGTCCATTTTGTTCCCTTTGCTGTTCAACATCTACATGAAACCACTGGGAGAGGTCATCAGGAGGTGTGGGCTGCGGAATCATCAGTACGCCGATGATACCCAGCTCTACCTCTCATTTTCCACCAATCCAGGTGAGCTGGTGGCTGTGCTGAACCGGTGCCTGGCCGAGGTAATGGGCTGGATGAGCGCCAGTAAACTGAAGCTCAGTCCAGAGAAGAGGAGATCCTGTTGGTTGGCGGATCGGGCTTCGGAGAGGGTGAATTGAACCTAGTCCTGAATGGGGTTGCACTCCCTCTTAGGGACAAGGTCCGCGGCTTGGGAGTGCTCCTCGACCCAGAGCTTTCATTGGAAGCTCAGGTGACAGAGTGGCGAGGAGCGCTTTCCTTCAGCTTCGGCTGATCCATCAGCTGCGCCCCTACCTGGAGTACGACTGCCTGGCGACAGTGACACACACGTTGGTGACTTCCCGCCTTGACTTCTGTAACGCGCTCTACGTGGGGCTACCCTTGAAGACGGTCCGGATACTTCAATTGGTTCAAAATAGAGCTGCCAGGCTGCTGACGGGGACTGGGCATTATTCACATGACTCCAGTCCTCCGTCAGCTTCACTGGTTTCCCACTGAAGTCCAGGCCCAATTCAAGGTGTTAGTGATGACCTATAAAGCCC